AGAGAGAGAGAGAGAGAGAGAGAGAGAGAGAGAGAGAGAGAGAGAGAGAGTGTTTTCATCTCCTCTGGAAACACACAAAAAATAATTGGTCTTATTAGTCTAAATCTTAAAGTTTCTGGCTTAATCTCAAGAAAAACAAGTACCAATTTGGTTTTAATGTGGAATCTTGAATAGTTGCTTTCACTCAATTATATGTTAGAAAAATGATTACCCATAACTGGAGACCTGAAGTGTTGCATGAGTGGGGAGAGGGTTGATCAGTTTCTGCAGTTACAGTTAGGTGGAAATGATGGTTTTGGATGTGGTTTTGCACAGTAGTATGACTATAGGTAACAATTATGAATGATCCATTTCAAAATAGCTACAAGAAACATCTGAAATAGTGGACATGCTCATTCTCCTGATTTAATAATCACTCAATTCATACAACTAGTAAGGCATTATGCTGTTCTTTATAAATATGTGAAAGTATTAGGTATAAATAAAAATTCAAAAATCCTGATTACTCAAATCCCTATTTAAAGATGCAGGAAAATTTTCCAAAGTTTTATGTAAATATATGAAAATTTTGTTGTTCTTTAAAGACTTCCTTTTTGGGGGCATCAAACTCAGGATCATGCACCTTAGGGCAGATGGTGGCGACACTGAGCTAAATCCCTGGTCCAAGAGCTATTTTGCGTGGGTGATTCAACAAGGCTGAAGAGAACAGCCATTTTGGAGGTACTTAAAGAAAATCATCTAAAAACATAGGCAATTGGAAAAAGGGAAGTCCAAAATCAATTTGATATGAGACTTGTTTGTTAAATAAAACGTAGTTACAGGACTTTATAAAACAGTGAACCAGCCCATGGGGCTGCTGGTGGGACTCATGAAGCAGGAACTGCCATTGTGGGAAGTTCTCAAAATACTGATGGACTGCAATAGTGTGCCACACTCAAGCAATATAGGATAGACTTGAGATATAAGGCTTCTTATCTCTTTGTCTTCCTCCAAATGGAGGATTCTGCAGCACACCAGCAAATTTCACCAGCACGTGACCAGGAAGCTGCTCCATTTCTGACAGCCCACCAGGGTTTATTACTTTATAAATTTTTTATTGTGCACCATATTGGTTAACTGGAACCTCTAGGGACAGCAAGGTTAGAGACCTCAGCAGTGGCAGTGAAAGTACTGAGTGGAAAGGCATGACCTCTCCTGCTTTTCGACCACTGGTGTGAGAGAGGGATGTGAACGTTCAGAATTTAAGCAGCCTTTGACAGTGGCAGGCCAATGAAAGGAAAGTCAGCATTCCTCCCCACCCAGAGAGAAGTGGAACTGAAGAGCATTGAGGCTGCCTCCATGGCAACAGGGTTTTGGGGGTCAGGAGGTGATGGCAGCTGTAGCAGCAGCTACAGAAGGAATGAGTCAGTGAACAGTACTCCATGGCCCCCCCCCACAATATTCAGCAGTTTGAGAGGGGCTGGTCATGACAGTAGAACTGGAACAGAGGAGTCTGTGCCAGGACTGGGAAGGACCAACTGCACACAGGAATGGGAAAAGCCTAGGACTCTCTGTCTGGTGGCACCACAGCTACTGGGAGAGTGAAGGAGAGACAAACAGGGTAAGGAAACATAGGTGGGCCACCAAGAGACACCCAGAAAATTGCTGGCTGAAGACAGCTACTAGGTCCCACATCTGGAGCCCAAGATCAGCCCCACACCCAGAAGTAACATTAATGCATGCCAGGAAGGGCTACCCAGCACAGATTTGGGCTCTGATTTTGAAACTACCACTGAACTATGGTACTAGAGTAATATCTCTCTCTCTCTCTCTCTCTCCCCCCTCCCCCCTCTCTCTCTCCCTCTCTCTCCCTCTCCCTCTCTCTCTCACCCCCTCTCTCTTCTTTCTTTCTTTCTCTTTCTTTATTTTCCTTTCTCTCTCTTTTGTTTTTTTAGTTTTTATTTTTTGACAGTTTAGATTTTTCTTTCTTTGTTTCACTTTCCTTTTTCTGTCTGTTGCATTTATTGTTTTGGTTGTTGAGGTTGTACTTTCACTTTTTGTTTTGTTTTGTTCATCTTTTTTCTCTCTTTTCTCAACTGTAATTCTTGATTTTTTGATATTTTCATGTGAGAGAACATTGTCTTTAGGTTCTCTGGTTCTAGTCTCTCTTTGATACTCTTCTGCTTACTCCTTCATCCTTTCTTTCCTTTCCTCTTCTCCACTTTTCCAAAGCTTGAGTGATCCTTCTTTGTCTTTCTGTCTTCTTTCTGCTATATTTTTCTTCATTTATCTCTTTTTTTGTATGATATCTCTCTTACATCAACACCCCCACAGGGTAAGATCACTCTATAAAGGGGAACCTCAGTGCAAACATGTTCTTAGTTTATGCTGGATTTTATTATGTAACTGTACATCTCACTCCTGTGGTTAAAGGTACCAAATTAATAGTTACCACATTTTGACAGTTTTTAGGTTGTGCTTGATCATACTGTTATTGCTAATTGTACAACCTTAGGCAGGATGTCATACCTATTATAATCAGTTGTTCTCCCTTGTGCGATAACAGTGTGATTGTCTATGGTCATAACCATCACCATAGTCCAGTACCAAAAGAATGGATGCAGATCCAAATAGATAGCAACTTCTCATTCCTAACAAATTGGAAAGTTAGGTCTTGTAACAGACTCAAAGACCAAGAGCCTGCAATGCCTAGAAAATTTGTGTAAGAAATAGACATTTTTTTGGAAGCCTCAGTAGTACTGATAAAACTACCTATCATAAAATATTTACAAACATTAACACCAAAAATTTATAATTTAAAAATAAAAAATATCAAGACACAGCATTGGGGTCCCCAGTTACTGAAGACCCTCACAAAGTTTTAGTATCCTACTAAGTAATGTGGTGTGCAACTGAAAATGAAACCAAGAGAAAACTACAGTTGTAAAGGCCTCTGGGATGACCAATTGCTCTGAGGAGAAAAAAACAATCATACACAGTAGCTCTCAGCTTTTATTGAATGTAAAAGGAACAGAAGCACAAGTGGAATATGGACAGAGTGTCATGGTTGATTATTTGGGAATAATCACTTCTGCAGAGTAGCTAGCAAGAGAAAAACAAAGCATTTGTGCACCAAGCATAAAACCATCAAATTTCCATCACAGTTTAATGGGTAACTTAGTATGTTGCTATAAGCAACTGTTTTACTGCTGATAAAAATACTTTGTCTTGACTCTTAATGGTTCAGAACTGATGGGATCATATATCTCAGCACCATCCCCTCATGGACCACTTATCTGGCCTCAAGGGTAGCCATTAATGAGGGAGGCAATGCTGACCCACACATTACCACTTTGCCTCCATGGAACACATCATTATGTTGGCTGAAATCCAGGTATATTTTTAAGGCCAGTTAGAAAAAATATTTCTGTACAGTTACCACTGCCTGTACTTACATAATTATCATGCCAGGGTTTAATAAGGAAAAGGAAAAAGGCTGCAATCAGGGTCTTCAATGTGGTGCTTCTTCACAACACAGAAGCAAAATGCAACCTCAGACCTCCAGTCCATCCAGGACAAGCCCAGAGGACAATTAAATAAAGGAAATCAGAAGTCACCCACCTGAATATTCTGAAATTATAGCAGCAGAAGTAAAAAAAAAATAAAACAAAACAGGTGAATGGAGAAAATCAGATTATAAATGATTATTTAGGTTAAAAAGCAATGATGATAAAAATGAAGAACTTACACAGTGAATATAGAGTAGACACAGATTTAAAAAATGAGAGAAGCTTAAGAGAATGATGGAAACCATGAAGGCCCTGCATTGGAAAAGAAATGAAATGCATGAAACAGATTCAAGCACATATAAAGGAGATTAAAAATTCCATTGAAAATGTACACAACTGATTGAACCAAGGCTAGGACAGAATATCATATCTTGACCACAGGACTGTGTTTAGTGATCACAAAAAAGAAATATTTCTTAAAAAATAGCTGGAGCACTATTCATAATAAAACTAAATCTTGAAAGCAGTTTGTATGTCCATCAACAGATGAATGGCTGAAGAAAATGTGGTATTTACACACAATGGAGTATTATTTTGTCATAAAGAAAATTATGGACTTGAGTATGTTGTAGAAAAATGGATTTACCTTGATACTATAATGTTAAGTGAAATAAATCAGACATACAAGCTTGAAAATCACATTGTTTCTCTTGTATGTGAAATCCAAAATACAAAGAAAGCTCAAAGTAAAAAACATATAAAAAATAGCTTAAGACTATGAAAAATCTATCCAAAAACTCCAAAGTAATACAAAAAGGACAATCTAAGATTGATTAGAGTCAATTAGAGTCAATGAGAAAGGAGATAGTGTAAATGCCATAAAAAAGAGTTGAGATCAATAATGCAGATAACTTCTCAAACATGCAAAAGCATAATATACAAATAAATGAGGCATATGGAACTCCAATTACCATGATGAAAATAAATCTACAACAAGTCATATAATAATCAAGTTTCCAGAAATTCAACATAAAATCAGAATACTAAAAATGTTTCAGATACAAAGCACCCATAAAGGAAGGCTGATAGAATAACAGTACACTTCTCAACACAAACCCTTAAGTCAAAGTAAGCATGAAGTATTTCAAGCCCTAAAAGAAAACAACTTCCAGAATGTATTTAGAAACCAGATCTATTAACATGCTGCATACAGAAAACACATTTAACTCAAAATAACTTTATAGTGAAAATAAATGGATGGA